TTAAATAAAAATATTAATTTGTTATTTTTTTATTTTTTATTTAAAAATTTTAAATTTAATTTTTTATTTAATAATTAATTAAATAATGATATTAATATAACAATATAAATTAAAAATCAAAATTTAATTAATTATTATTTAAAAATTAAAAAATAATTATTAAATAAAAATTGAAAATTAAAAAAATTTAAATTAAAATAAAATTTAATATTTTTATTTAAAAATATAAATTTAATATTTTTTAATAAAAAAATATAAAATTAAAAAAGCAACATTTTTAGATAAAAAGATACAAAATTAATATTTTTATTTAAAACAATATAAATTTAATATTTTTTAATAAAAAAATATAAAATTAACATTTTTGTTTATTATTTTTCTCAACCGTACGTGCAACCGGATTCTCAAAAGATGAGGGAACATTCATGATTTTAGGCTCTCAATCAATAAGTCGGGCTTGGGGGTACCACTGCTTCCCACAACATAACATGGCATGGGCAGTAATTGCCCCTCTCACACCAAACACTTGCATCTTTAATTGAGCCAATAGCCAAAATGCTGCATATTATTAAAATGTGTGGAGGATGGAGAGTCCCATGTCAATGCGCAAGCTGGCCCGAAAATGAAACCATACCAAGCCAATAATAGGAAAGCAAAAACGAAAAATTAAGACATCCATCAAATCGTTTATCGCTTGAATTTTAAATGTCAAGATTTTCTAAAAATCTGGGAACATTAATAGGAAAAGCAAACACAACAATGAGGGAGCATTCCATGCATTTTGGTTTTGGCGAATTTTCCTCCTCTTTAACAATTTTCAATTTTTACAATTTAGGTTTGATTTACTAGTCCTAATGTATATATTCAAACACAGAACTTAATTTGTAGTAAAAAGGACATTATTATTAAATCGCAAAAAGGTCGTTAAGAGAAAGTATTTGATTGGTTTAATGATATGTAGTGTATACTATCACGCATGCTCATAGATTTTTATGCATATGGTGCTAACGCCAGCTAAGAAGAAAATTAATGATAACTCCTTACATTTTAGATATCTCAACATAAAGCTGAATTTAATGTAATATGAAAAACTTCTAACATAACATAAAAGAGCTTGTAATGTGACATGAGAATTAATATTCTAACATAGTATCCATTAGTACTAAAAGGTTTTGCAGTCACTGGCAGGTTTAATAGTGTTTCGGGACATATATAGTTTGATTTCATGGTCATAGTTTTTCCATTTGTTGAAAGAGGAGGAAAAGTAAATAAATAAATGAAGAATATCTATTT